GTGGCACAAAGGGTTAAAGCACATTAGTATGACACTATCCATAGCCACTGCAACTCCAGCTTCCTCCCCATTCAGGGAGATGACCCTTATAGTACAGCAGACCTCCCCTGTCTGGCCCACTGCTCCCTTCAGCAGTGTGTTGCAGTCACTCCACCTGTTCTACTCCCCACTTTGTCTCTGCTGAATCCTCTCACCCTCCACACCTCTGGCCTGTTCCCCGGTTCTTATATGCATAAATAAATAAATCTTAAAACAAGAAAACCACACATCTAGATCTTGACTCATGAGAACTTTTTACATCACATCCACAAAGATTCACATTTTACATACTGCCTTAGGGTGTAGTCACAGATTCCTCTACAAATGTAAGTAAGCTTGACCTTGTGAGTTTACCCACTTCCACACTACATTTTCTATAAATCTGATTGCTTGCCAAGGGTTGCCTAGAATCATTGGTCCCCTTCCTCTCTCGCTCCCACCTTGGGGGTACATGGATGGGTGAGATCCATGTGTTTTAAGACTCCTTCATCTTCCCTCTTCAGGAATCTTGGAGACCATGCACTTGAGAGGAGGAAAGAATTTGGAATTTATCACACTTCAAGTTTTAGATGTGAAATAATCGGAAGAAAAGAAGGAATGCCTGACGTGCAGAGAGCTGAAGGGAGAAAGTTATAGAAAGGCAAATTGTAAAGCTGGAACATGAAAGAAATAATTTTAAACTCCAAAGCAACCAAGCCAAGCCTGCCAGTTGTCAGGTACTGAGTATCAGATGCTCTCAAGTTCTCTGCTCCATCTCTTTCTGTCTACTTTTGTTTCACCTGGTCCAGTTCCTATGTGTAAAGCTCGATGCAGCTTTAGGGTAAATATCATATCTGTCCTAAGCAAACTTTGAATCTTCCACATCTAAATCCATGCACTGCATGGATGGAGCATGCACTACATACATTTGTCAAGTGAAGACATGAATGCACAGGTGAAGTGTGACATTAAGCTGCATGATGTGACCTTTGGCACAAAGCCATTTAGAATTAGTGGCTAGAAACAAGTGATAAAGCCCCCCCCCTTTTTTTTTCAAAGAGCTTAAAGTTAATCTCATTTTAAAGCAGGTTTTTCTTGAATAAACAAAAAGTGGGTTCCTCATCCTCTGACTTCCCTCACTTACGCTGTCACTTTAGCAATATACTCTGCTGGGGAAGTGCCATAAAATACCAAGCTTTGAGATTTACCATGAGAGCCAAGAGAATGACATATTACTTAATTTAATTATCACAACAACCTTGTGAAGTAGATTTGACCTTGACTTTACATAAATGTCCTTGATTTTACAATTGAGGAAAGTAAAGGTTAGGAATTTAAAAGACTTGCCCAATAGTTTGGAAGTATAAGTTGGGGTGTGAATCCAGACATATAACCTGAAACCCTCACTGGGAACCACTGCTCTGTGACAGTGGGGGGCTGGCGGTCTGCCAGTCAGCATATTTAGATAATAGCATGGTGGGGGAGGGGGTTTTGAATCTGCCACATAGTATATACAGAGTAGTTAAGTCATCCTTTCCTCTGTCTCCCCTTTAATCTAAAGGAAGAGGGTCCCATGTAGAATCCATCTCCTGCTGCCCATTTATGGATTGTGAAGATGAAATGATTTAGTGGAATGTAAAGAGAAATGGTTTGCAAATATTTCTAAAGCATTTGAAGATCTTTGGGCTGTAGTACAGGTAATATGCCAGTACAATCATTGCATGAGCATTTCAACAATGGGCTCTTAATTAATGCAGTACATTCAAGTGAGAAGCAAAGGGTAACACAGTAAACAGCACATATTGCAAGATTATTTTCATACTAGTTGCACAAAGGGAAAAGAAAACCCCACAAACAGAAAATGTACAGTTCTTCTCTTTCTCCTAAATACATTTCTTCCCAAAGTTTTCCAGTTGTGATTAAAGAAATTTATAATTATAGTCTAAAGTAGTATTTTACCTCATTTTTCTAAAACTATTATATATATATATATGTATATATGAAAAGGATATATAAATTGGCTGTTATTTTTTGAAGAATGCTATCAAAAGGTGTATTTTGGAAATGTCAATGTAAATACTTTGTATTCGGTACAATAACTGACTCCACACTAGTGATTTAGAGAAGACCACCACTGAAATCATTAGTTCAGGTAGAAGGTAAATGGTAGAAAGAGCCATTTTCCTTGTCACCTCCTGGAGATACTTCTATGATGTACTTGGTAAACCAATTCTTTTTCTCACAGTGAAACAGATAGGTGGCTTTTTCTTACAGTATCATTTCTCCTTTTATTATTTTTAGTTGGGCAGAAATAAATAAAAT